TGTACCTCATGTTTAGTTGCATGCATGGTGTCACATACCAATCCATCTGCCTCCAGCAGCTAAGCAGCAGCTACACGTCGCTCACGGGAAGCATCTACGTCATCTCGACGCCAGATAAGGCGTTTGAGCAGAATGGTTACCCTGTCAACGAAGGGCCCGCAGCGCTCTACTACGGCGGAAAGACTTACATCGCATATTCGGCGTCGTACTGCTGGACCGCCAACTACTGCCTCGGCTTGCTGACCTGGGACGGTTCGACGGCGCCCACAAGTGCCTCGGCGTGGAGCAAGAGCAGCGGCTGTGTCTTCTCTAGTGCCAACGGAAACTATGGAGCCGGACACAACAGCTTCTTCCAGAGTCCAGACGGGTCACAGACGTGGATCTCATATCATGCCACCTCCAACAGCGCGGGTGCGTGTGACGACTCACGGTACACCATGGTGCAGCTCCTTGGGACCCACAGTGACGGCAGCCCGAACTTTGGCAGTCCCGTGGACTTTGCTCATGTCTATAGCGAGCCTAAGAGCGCGTAATAGAGGAGGACAGAGTCGTCCTATTTTTTAGGGTCGCAATGTTCATTAAGTTCTACCAGCTACCAGTGTTGTGTTCCTTTGACCCCCTTCCACGTTCCTCCATGGAGATGTGGAGTGGTGGTCGAGAGGAGAGGCACCACAGAATCAGGCACACGGCCATCAACGATACTAAAGCCCATGCTGGTGCATCCAATCTCTAATATATACTACACTTCGCATGGCATACAGCAACTCCCATGCCGACGGGTCTTTAACCCACCGATCTATAGCATCGTCACCGTTGCGCTTTTACACCGATCGCAACGGGCTAATGGAGCACAGCTGAGACCTCACAATGCAATAGGTAATGTAATTTGCGGAGTGCTTGAGTGCCATGCAATGTACCGCTGAAGCAGAAGGTCGAAATCCGAGCATAATTACCAAATTAAGCAGCGAGATCCGTAAACGACGGCTCGGCATAAGCGGCCACGATGGGCTCCGTGTCGAGTGTGCCTATATGCTGTTCGAGTTAGGTCCGGGCCTATGATCTCTCGTAAGCCTCAGCGACCCCTCAAGGTATACTGCCGCGCGTGCGTTGCTGTATTGGCGAGGTCGACTGGGGGCCATTGGCGCGTCTATACGGCTTGCGTCAAATAGGATATTGTGCTAGTTTGAGAGACACCGGGAAGGCTGCTGAGTATCAGCCGGCAGAATAGATAGCTGTGAAATGAAGTAAAGGCAACTCAAAAAGGCTTCATCGTTGTCACTTTCTCTAATCCTGTCTTGCTTGGCGTCTTGCTTGGCGTCTTGCGTGTCCGTCGCGCCTTCGGAAAGCGCTGTGGAAATCCTTTTCTTAAGGCAAGTTGCCCCAATAGGGCGATGGAATGCTATTACAAAATATAGTGGAGAATTTGTGGACTGGGTTTCGTATTCCTTCCCCAAAGTTGCGAGGGGGGCCTGCTTGTACCCCGGCAAGCCGAGAATAGCTGATTTCGACAACTGCGATCTCGAGCTTCCGCCGGAGCTCTCTTCATGGTCCGTATGGCCGATCCTCGGTCGAGTTGACGGCTCAAAAGTATAAATAGGAGGTACTCCTGGGACCGATGCCATACCATACTTCAATATCCAGCTGTGCCATTCTCATATTGCGAGTTAAACATCACTATCACTTCACGCCGACTTGACATTCCGCCTAGAAAATACTTCAAACACCATGAAGATGCTTTCATCCTTCTTTCTTCTCCTCCTATCTCAGCTGCTCGTGTTCACCGGCGCTGCACCGCAGGCTGCCCTTGCCAATCCTACGGAGCCACTCGAGCAATTCCACACGAAGTTCTTTTTTGGCCTGTTTATCTCCGACGATGAAGCCCTCTTCGAAGAAACCTTCGACACCGGATACAGCGCTGATCTAGTCCAAAAGTAAGCCAGTAATGGTACTCTGCTTCGCCATTGCTACTAACGACGAATTTTCAGTGGAAATGGCGTAGATTTCACCTTTGACACATTCAAGGCATTTGTGTCTCAGCAACGCAAGGCCTTCACAAATCGCACCCTTGTATCCTCTAGGTATGCCATCGTGCCGGATGACTCGACCGGTTTGACGGGAAATGTTGGCCATATTGCTGTTGTTTCGGCTGTGCTAAACGGCGCGCCTGTCGATGCAACCATCGTCGCTGTTCTGACGACGAAGCTTGATGCGAACGGTAACCAAGTCAACACTGCCGAGAGGTTTGTCCTGCAGGTGCAGCCGGCGTGAGAGAGAAACTAGCAAGACTAGTGGCCAGGGTACAAGCCAGCGCAGTGTGTACGCTTTGAGGACGGAGCTGTGTACAAAATAGGCTCTCAGAGAATGTCTTCACACCTGCTCTCCTGTATAATTCTTGGTGAACTACGCCTCAGTGCTCAACTTCTATGGAAACGATGGCATAATATAGAGAGGTAGACAGTGCTGTCCTCGCGTACATTTTTTTTCTTTATTGCCTATGTTCTTGACAGTATGATAGACACACAATAAAGAGGTGTATTACATTGTTTTCTCCCGCTACTTCTTTCCGTGATAGAACTAAGATGGGGGCACCCCAAACGGCCCCAAGAAATCAAAATCGATCCTCAACGACTCCACCATAGCATATGCGTTCTCGGGGCCCCAAACATCTACAGCGGAGAGCCTCCCAGCCCACTTCTGATTCGTAACGTTATTACAGAAGCCAGACACAGCCTCGAGATAGACCTTGAATGCAGCCCATGGGTTACCTTGGTTCGCACCAAGTGCAGCATTGATGAGATCGTTGCCATTGATTGGGTTAGTCGCGTTGGCAGGCTGCGTGCTCAGCGTGATGGCGTTCGCGCAATTGGTCTTCAGGTCCTTGATATAGTCGCGCTGCACCAGCACGTCGGTGCGGTTGCCGGAGCGCGTTAGATGGCCCCCGACAAAGTGGTCAAAATCGTACTCCAGGATCTGGTCATGTGCTTCGATGAAGCCTGGGATATCTTGCGCCTGGGCGAGATAGGCAAAGGGGGCCCATCCAGGAAAGACGACATCCACAAGCATGAGGACTTTTTGCTTGGGAGCATAGATGAAGATGTTACCGGGCTCATGGTTGGGCCCTTTGTACGAGAGCTCGAGGGTCTGGTTTCCGACGCGCAGGGTGTACTTGTCGTGGAAGATGATATCCGGAAGTGGCTGGTTCGGGCTAGGCACTGCAGTGAGGAGCTCCTTGGTGTGCGCATGTGCGATGCGGGTTGCCTTGCCAAACAGGTATGCACCTCCCGCGTGGTCCGAGTGGGCGTGGCTGTAGATGAAGTGTGTGATTGGCTTGCTGGTGATGTTTCCGATGGCATATAGAATCTTGTGTGCGGTGGTAGGAGGTGCATCCACAACGATCACACCTTGTGTCGAGACGAAAAACAAAGAGTTATACTGGTTCTCGGTGACCATGTAGGCACCGCCTCCAAAAGACTCGACGCGGTACCCGTCCTTCAGCTCCGGCCATGGTTCACCAACAGGGAGCCAAGTCGGGATACTGATGAGCTCGCTGGCTCTTGCCAGGGCCGCAAAGCAGGTGAAGGCCCGGACAATAGAAATTCTCATTTTCGCTTCGAGAAGTGGACCAAGCAGACTGGAGTTGGATCTGGTAGTTCCTAGGCTGCTGACACTTAGGTTATAACTTAGAGGGAGTTTGCGTGGATGGGAACCGACTCGTTTGCAGCCACCACAGCAGCCGGCTTTAAGTAGCGTGTTTAAAGGAAGTATCACAATTGATAGAAGAAAGTTTGGGCAATTTATACAAACTACGCACTCCAGTCTCTTGCAAGAACAGTCTAGGCACAACACATTCTGCAGCAACTACTAAGCTAGAGCGAATCCTGCAGCTTAGACGCGAGTGGAAGTCTGAACACCGCATGAAGCTATTTGTAAGCTAAGTACATTGCATCTCAGCTCGAGGTAGTTCTTCCTCATGGACGCAGATTACTAAGTTACCTCCCTGTTGTGGCGGGTGGCTTTCCTAGTGTGCTCTTCATTGGACAGCCATCTGTCAGCACCACGGTGTTGGCCAACCTGAATTGCCCAATACGCGGGCGGTCGTGGTATCCGAAAGTACGTTGCAGGTGCCAAGAGCCCTACTAGCAAGATCTCAGCCTTGTAGAATATAGGTGGCTAATGCGGAGATGGTGAACCGGGCGGTAAGTGCGGTGTATCCGAAGTGCGACTTGACGCACAGTCCCCTAGTAGGTGCCGATACCCCGCCATATGGGATTGGCCTAGGGCTGAGGGCGTCTTGTTATTCTAGGCTACGAATAGGATCCGGAGGGCCTAGCACAAGGGCACCGCCAGCCTGCGGAAACAGACCTAACTTTGTTATTTAGCGCGAGACAACATCCGGGATACCGGATTCAGGGTAGCTAGCGTTCTAGTTAGTTCTCTGGCTCTGAGAGCATACTGACAAATGAAGCTGCGATGTTACGTCGGGCGGCCCGAATCTGACTTCCCAGACGAAAGAGGCTAGGCAGGGTGAAGCCCAGGAGCGGGACATGGCGGAAAACAGAGCCATCTAAGGCAGACTTACCTTTTCGTAGAGAGGCACAGGAAAGAAATCATGGGCCAGGGACTTGGGTATTTCTAAGGTGTCATTGCTAGTTGCCTCGCGCTGCGTCGAGCCGAATTTCCCATTTCAGCCTAGCTAATACAATTGGGCATGTCTCTGCGAACGCCACCATTGGTTCGGGATTGCAAATCTCTTTATCAGGAGCTTGCTTCTGCACATGACAGGGCTCTACTCGGTATCGGCCGGTGCGTGCTCATTGGGCACGCGGCCTCACCTCTCCATGGCCAAATCCAAACCCCACTTCACAGCGACAGACGAAGTGGCTGAGCGATGGCAAAGCGGGGGCGCTATATCTTTTGAAAATTGTCCAAATTGTTAACCGGACCCCGAGATTGGCCAGATGGCGGAGGTGGGACAACCAACCTTTGCAGATACGTCTGAAGTCTAGACTAACCTCTTTCAGTGGTTAACGCGTGAGACTTGAAATCTCATTCCTTCGGGAGCGCAGGTTCAAACCCTGCTCTGGTCGGATTTTTTTGCTCTCCTTGTCAAGGCAGCCGAAGCAACTCCTATTTTGCCCCTCTTTTATTCTTCAGTGTCCATATTTTTTTTTTCCTCATCTGACTCGCTCGTTGTCGTGGCTAAAATTTAGGTGCCATAAACCTAGGCTAGCTTTGTGATGCACATGTAGCGTGTCAGTTATAGTGAAGTCGGGGGTAGCATAGCACCACAGGGCATAAATAAACTTCTGCTGATCCCCCTTCTTCCGCCCTGCAGCTCAGCTAGTGTCTCTTCTACGGTTCTATCGACTTACATACTCGTGTATAGTGCCTTCTCATGCCTCCGCTATATAGCGCTTCATCAATCTCACGTCCACAGTTGCGAATGCTAAGCATGTTGCAGAAAGAAGACTTGGTCGATAATAGGCTCTCATCGCGGAAGGTGCCACTGTATACGAGGTGTTGCCGGACAACTGACCCCGCTCAAGTAGGTTTACAGAGCAAGAATAGGGGCTTTCTAGTACATAAGGTAGCATTGTTGAGGAGGAGGGGGCGCAGCAGCTGGACTTGGCAGCAAAAGGGGTGGGCGGCCAGCCCAGGAAACCCGGTATTAATGGACGGCTTATCGGTGGAGAATGGATCTCTGTTATCAATATTCTTGCCGATCGTCACGAGTGAGAGTTTATGTAGTAGTCTTGGCCCTACTACAGTACAATCAAATCGACCTTTTAGTGGTTTCACATGGATGAGGAGCCTCGGGTCCCCTCTTCGGAGGCCCATTGCCAAGGCTCCGGCCGGAAGCACAGGGCCAAATTTTGCCTAAAGCGTTTGAGTATACGACAATCTTCCACGAATCCACGCCACTGAGCGCATCGATATTGCCTATAATATAGTTGTTGTTCCCGGTAGAGTAACCCCATGTTATCCACCTGCCGGGCGTATATATCTGAAGAGGCCGCTGTAGGCTCGAACCTTATTGGCATTCTCTCTACGTACCTCTAGCCTGCCCAACCCTAAACCGGTCACTATGCGGTTTGACCTGCTGCCCGTTATCCTGGCTTGCGCCTCTCTCACCTCGGCCACCATAACGTATACAGTGCAGAAGGCCGCCAACCCCACATCGGACCAGGCCGATGCGTATACTCGCATCGATGCTGCCATGAAATTGGCCGTGGCACGCTACAACAAGCTCACAACCCGCCCCAGCAAGTCTATCACCGCCCAATATGTGCCTGGTGTCGCCACCGCGGACGGGAACTTCAATGGCAACATCCGATTCGGGTCTGACAGAGCATACATGACCGAGCGAACCGCTCTCCACGAGACGGCCCATACTCTCGGTATCGGCCAGACAGCGGCCTTCGACACGCGGTGCGCTGCCAACAGTACGTATTCTACAGTCGGAACTTTCCTTTTCGATTTCATCGAAACCCCATGAATGGACGGTCGCACTAGATTGGCGCCCAATTTAAAGTCTCCAGGCATGTCTCGCTCACAATCAAGGCAATTACTGACTCTGGATGTTGGTAGACTGGCCATCGGCGACAAAACTCCTACAGTCGTGGGACGGGGCCAGTGCCAAGATCAACTGCGGGGGTGGGCACATATGGCCGTACGGCCTTAATTACGAGACAGAATTCAGCGAGACAAACGCAAATCGCCATTGCCAGCTGATTGACGCCATGCTGGCTGATGGTCTCGCCGGTTGAATGATAGATGGACTACCGATCCTCTAATCAAAGTAGCATGGCCAAGGCCAAATGAGTGTACATACCTTGGGCGTTGCTTCAAAAGCCGGCTCCCTATAATTGATGCCGTAGACAAACATATTCTCAAGTATCTGTCATTAAGGGAAAGGACCGACATATCTAGTCTACTATCGAGACTTTGGTCTGCCATTAGCAGGATTCTCTTATATGGCTACGCTACCCAAGGAGCGGTAAGAATGGCTTCAACAAGCCTTGCCTGCTTATAACTAGCGCAGAACATGATACACATATGAAGACCTAAAGAATTCCGTCCTCACACGGCAGCTACTCCAGGTTTCGGTACAACTGGTGCGGCCTTCTCCTTCTCTTCCACTGTCTCCGCCTTCTTCTCCTGGAGGGCAAACCAGATGACGATATCCGGCTTGCCATCTTCGAATTCGACCCCAAGTTTTGCGGGCTTCCCGGACGCGTCAATCTCGAACCGAGCCCTTGTGTTCAAAGTCATAATACCCCGGATCAGGTCCACCTTGGCCAGAAAGTGCTCGCCGGTGATGTGCTCGAGAATGAAAGGATCCAGGTTGACTCTTCCCGGGAGCGACCCGATAAGTTCGGAATCCTTCTGTTCCCTGAAGGTAATGGTGCCATAGACGGGATGCTTGTAGGAACCGACATAGTCATCCAGCGGGAGGGAGTGTGGGATCTTTGGCGTCGGAACCGACGGGTATAGCCGGTCTTTCTCGCCAGCCGTGTGGGCTTTCATCATCTCGCGCGTCTGCTTGGTCCTAGTAGATCATGAAAATCAGCGGCGGGGACCAAGAAGCAGAGGATAGGTAGGGGAGCAGCATACTGTGTAAAGACATCAATTCTCTTCTCGGCCGGAGTGTCGAGAAATTCATCGATAAGATGCCACAGCGACACATCCAGGACCGCGTTGGCCGGCGCGCAGCACATTCCCACGACGCCGAATTTACGATCGGGAAGGAAGATCATGTTCGCTACCCCGCCAACGACACCGCCCGGGTGGAAAATGACCTTTTCGCCGCGATACACGGCGATCCACCATCCGTAGCCGTAGGAAATCGGGCCCGTGAACCGCGGGCTTATTGGCGGCGACACCATGTGCGGGCTGGTGATGGCCGCATACCCGGCCGCGGACAGCGGGGCCTTGTCCTCCTGTTTGATGAGAGCCTTGATCCACTTGGCGTAGTCGGTCACGCTGGAAACAATGGCGCCAGCACCGCTGATGCCGCGGTCATCCCAGAATGGGAGCTGTTTGAACTTCTTGGCATCAGGTTCCCAGACGTGGAGTTTCGCCAACTGGACCTCGGGATCCGCTTGCTTTGCCTCGTATGCCAGCGCATCCTCAATTGAGAGGAAGGTTGAGTCCATCCCTAGCGGCTTCCAGATTTTCTCACCCATGACTTCACCGAGAGGCTTGCCCGTCACTGTCTCGATCACGTGGGAGACCGCCTGGAACATGTGATTAGAATATTCCCAGGTCGTCCTGGGCTGGAAATCTCCTAAGGGCAGGTGGCGCAAGTTCCTGATGTTCTGCTTCAAAGAGGGGCCGCCTAGATCTGTTCGGTGGCCAGAAAAGCCGCTGCGGTGCGACAGGCAGTCTGCGATGGTAATATGAGTGGTTGCGTAATCATCCTCCAGCACAAAGTCATCCGGAATTAGCTTGTGCACCGGTGTGTTCCAATCGACAGCGGGATCTTCGTCGACAAGGAGCGAAGTGACAGCCGCCGTGAATGATTTGGCCGTGCTTCCTGTCGTATCGTTAGGCTACTTTGCGCCACATATGCCTTGGGCTATCTCACCGGCCAGGAACATGGTCTTAGGGGTAACCTTGTCGCCGGTTTCGATGTTCGAGACGCCATAACCCTTAGCCCACACTTGATCGCCATCGATAACAGCTAGTGCTGCACCGGGCGCATTCAGCTCCTCCAGGGCCGACGCCACAAGCTCGTCGAGCTTGCTGCTGTCGAGGGGCGACTTCTTGTCCTCTGTCTCGCTCTAACCTTAGCAGTCAGTTGTGGTCGTTCTTCTATCGGGACAAGGACCGGATGCTTCGGGTGATGATACGAACCATTGCTACGGCTATGGTGTGATCTGGAACTTGTTGTAAGACGTTCTGAATCGTCGAGAATGGCGACAAACCAAGTGAAGATGGAGCGATGATTGCATAGACGAGGTGATGTTCGCTTAGGCATTTATTGGAGGGGTATCCAGAGCGCTATATATACCTAGTGAGGTGCCACAAGCTTAATCTACTATAGGCATGCGCCGTAGGTATGCATCTTGCCCTTGGCGAGCACCTCAATCTCGACCAGCCACTAAACCTCTCCTGTGCCGAACCAAGCTATCGATGCAGCTTGCATCAATTGGAGGGTATTGGTGCTGTCACAATAAAGGCAAACATTGCGAGTTTGCGAGGAACTCTGGGCTCTACGGCGCCAAGATGGATGAGCCTCTAGGGGGCAATTACACGACGCCTTGTGCCTATCGGAATTGGATTAGGATCTTGGTATAGGCGGATGAACAGTCGGAGTGAGGATACTTAGCTGGAGCTAGCTACATAGTACACTAAAGGAGGCGCTATGGTGCCAGGGGTTGGGCTCCTTGGTGGCCTCGGCCCCCAAACCAAACCAAACCACTTGCCTAGTCTGGAATAGGTGAGCCAAGCTCCAACCTTAACTCTCGTTTAAACGGATGTTCTGTGGGCCGAGGACCCTGCAGGAGCGAGAGATAGCACACACGCGCGTCCTACTCCGAACTCCGAGCAGTAGACACGGCGCAGCGCGGCAGAGACTAGCTAGCACATGCTGGCGTTTCGGTATGCCGCCATGTAGGTAGGAACACTTGAATTCGAGGGTGAGGGTGCAGAGAAGCGATCGAGAATTTTGTTTTCTCATGGCCGGTTGTCGGGATCTGTCCAGGTCACCAACACTGGTATTGTTTTGTCCCTCCGAAGAGTGGGTCTGCCATCTGTGCAACACAGTATGGCGACACCTGCTCAGTGCTCTTATGTTGTGTGTCTGTTATTACCTCGCTCTAGAAATAGGAATGCTTCCCGTTATAGACGCCGTGCATTAGCGCTCCCGACCGCAGTCTACATAATGTAAATCGGAGAAAACCTGCTAGCTAAGCGCTGAGCAACCAAGGAGTATATCGGGGCTATTCCTACTAAGTCTCAATCATCTCCGACAAAAGACTTCTCAATTAAGGGGGACGGTGTTCAGACACGTTCCATCAAGGGCCTTCTCACTATGTTGTCGGCGTGGCGAGGATCTATGAGCTTCTCGTATCAAAATCTTTTG